GGGTTGTTTTGATGTTCATTTCTCTTGATTTTAGTGATTTGGAAAAGATATTTGTATTTCAATAGAAGTGGCTTCTTTTGAAATTTTATATATTTTTACTTTATGCATTTAAAAACAGTCCTTTGAAAAACCTAGAAAGACTTGTATGAACTGATGCTGAGTGAAGGGAGAATCAGGAGAAAACTGTAGAGTAACAACACTGTGAGATGATCAGCTATGACTGACTTAGCCCTTCTCAGCAATAAATACAATGATCTGAGACAATTTCAAAAGACTCATGATGGAAGATGTTATCCATATCCAGAGAAAGAACTACAGAGTCTGGAAGCAGATGGCAACAGACTATTTTCACTTTTTTTGTTTTGTTTTTCGTGGCTTTTCCCTTTTGTTCTTTTTCTTCTTTTACGTGACTAATGTGGAAATATATTTACAAGATTATACAAGTATAACTTGCATCAGATTGTTTGTCATCTTGGGAAGGGGAGATGGGGGAGAAGGAGGGAGAAAAAAATTTGAAACTCAAAATCTTATAAAAAATGAATGTTGAAAATTATCTTTACATGTAATTGGAAAAATCAAAATAATATTTACAAAATAAAAAAAATAAAAATAAAAAGAGAAACATTACTCCATGGGCTTCACCAGCCCAAAAAATGGGGCCCATGACACAAAAAAGGTTAAGAATCCCTAGTCTAAAGATTTAAGAAAAAGGGCCCTGGGCAAAGCTTGGGGTACCCCCAGCTAGGTTGTGTGATACAGAGGAATATTCATCTTTTCCAAGCATACCAAGAAACTAGGATTTACCAGTTTAAATAAACATAATTATCTTAAGTTCCAAGTCATTGTTAGTCCAATGAATTAATGGATACAGCTGACCCTATGAGCCTTCAGGAGCTTCCTCAGGAATCTGTGCAATTATAAGCTCTCTATCGAGGTGCTAGTTCTCTTGGAAGGCAGCAAAAACCTCAAAAATCCCTTGGTGGGTTCAACAATGGCCACCCGAGCTCCTCGTGGGTAATATGACGCAATTCTTTCCAAGTGAAAAAGGAGAAAGGAAAAGTCAAATAAACAGCTACTTAAAGAAAATTCCCACCAATGTGGGTGGTTCAGTACAAACTTATTTTACAAAGCAAATGTCATAATTAAGTAAATGTTTCTATATAAATGATGATAGTCACTTTCAGCAATTAGAAAGCAATAAGCGCTAAAAGTATTGACCCAGAGATACTAATATGTAATATTAATAGATATTAAGTAATTCCTCTATTAATCAAAGTGGGTCTATTCAACCACTTACTTTATTTATTACCAGAAGTAGAAACCATGGAGATGCCTTTTACAGCATAGATTTCTTTTTCCCTTCCCCTGACATGCCAAGCCCCTCAGCCCCCAGAAAATGTAGCCTTCCTGCCTCCCTGGGGCTAAGGCCTTCTCCAGGGACAGAGGGGGTGTCACTATTCACAGCAAAAAGAGTAATTGGCCAGGGAGTTAGGACCCAGGTTCTAATCCTGCCTCCTCTGCCACTAACTGGTCATAAGAATGAACAAATTTCTTGAGCTTTCTGGCCCATCTGTAGAATTAGGTAGTAAGACTAGAAGGTATACAAGGTCCCTTCCAATCTATAATCGTCCAGTTCTATTCTCCACTCTTAGGTAACGAGGCCATACACCCCTTGAGACTGCAATCTTCCCCTCAACCAGTCAGTCCTTAGCCCTGGACTCAAGAAGTGTGTAAGATTATAAAAATTATAGTTTTTAAAAATGAAAGAAACCCTATAAACTGCTTGGACTACTAAATACTAGGGGAAAGAGTTCGAGAGTAGAGTCAGGAGGACCTGGAATCAAACCTTCCCTCTGATACTTACTAGCTGTGTGACTGGCGGTGGATCACTTAACTTTTCTAAGCTTTTATCTGTAAAATGGGCTGAAATAACAATTTCTGTCTCATATAGTTTTGTAATGAGGCTTAAATTTCTTGAGTCAACGTAAGGTGATTCAAAAACATCTAAAGATATTCCAGTTATTATTATCCAGGACAACTTCCTCATTTTACAGAAGCAGCAGCTCAGATTCAGAGAAAGGTCATGTGACCTTTGAGATCCAAGAGCCCAAACTCCTCATTTACTGGCTAAAGAAAGGTGAAAGGAACTGTCCCAGGCCATGGAGCTCCCTGGTAAATCCTAGGTTCCCAGCCACGCTGTTCTCTAAATACATATACTGGGTGGCCTCTCTGAGCCAACACAGCAGAGTCTTCTCCTCTTTCCCAGCCTGTCACCCCCCAGCCCAGTGCTGGAGATGTGAAAATGACTCCCAACCCTCTCCTGGAGCATGTCCATGATCTCTCCAAAGTCTCCAAAACATTCGATAAAGACCAAGACACCTCATATTCCCTGGGATGCCAACGTCACATGCCCATCAACATTAAGCATCGATTTAAAAGTCAACATCTGGAAAATAGCATTCATTCTAATAAAATATCATTTGAAAGTATAATTTGGCGATGAAGAAGAAAAAAATTTAAAGGAAAAATAGTTCAAAGACAAAGAAAAATAACAAAGAAATCCACAGAAACCAAAATAACCAATTGTGAAGAGGGTAAATACAGGCTGTGCAAGAGAAGTTTTCAAAATGTATAAGGTTGCTTTTCCTTTTTTTTTTTCTGTTAAAATTTCTGTTTTAAATGATTTGTCAAAAACAAAACCCAAGAACCAAACATCACACCTTTCTTGCCAGGACACTAGAGCCAGGGTTCCGACCATCATCTTCATTTTATTTTCCCTCTTTTTTGACCGAACACAAAATCTGACCCTCTCTACAGTGGCCCAGAACAACCTGGAAAATTAAGTTTATTTCTTCTGGCAGTCACCATCTGTGCTCAGAAATATAAAACTGTTATTCTGAATAAATTTCAAAGTTCCACAGGCCTAAAATTACTTTACTGAGAGAGGACAAAATGAGCTGTTACAGGGAGGAAAAGGGATTGTTATCCCAAAAGAACAGGCTGCTCTCCAGCACTCACACCACCTCTTCTGTTTGGCAAAATAAACAACTCGAGACACTTGATTTTACTTTGTGTACCAGGCTCATAAAGAACTCCTGGGGCAAAAAGCCCATGACAAACATTCATTTTGTCACCAATTTTAAAGGGAAGAGGCCTGGTTCAATTTTGCTAAATAAGCAGCACATGTTTTTCAAGGTTTTTTTAATTTACATATAAATATGTACCTTTGGTGGGAAAAAAAACTACAGAGAAACAACTTAGCTAATAAGAATACTATTCTTGTTTCTCAAAGGATTTTAAAATTGCTACTTTGCTGAGGGAAAAGACATTTTCATTTCAGCTATCAATCTACTAAAACTTAAACAGTATTATCAAATCACAATAAAGCCACTCTACTTATACGACTCTGGGTGTGGTTCTGACCCGGGGGCTGTGGCTGTAGCTGCCGCTGGCAAGGGCTCTCCAAGAAGGTGGAGACAGGTGGCAGACCCAATAACTTTGGAGAGATCACAAAACCGGATGACTCTATTGGGATGGAGAGGTAAACACTAAGTCTAACCAGGGAAGCTGGTCTGGCAGTCCTCCTGCTTAGCACACTGAGGCCTTCACATAAGACACTGCCTGTCGGTGGACAGGAGACACATGACTCTAAGAGAAGGGGCCCAGGAACAGGAACCTGCGGCTCTTCCTTCTCCCTCCATGGGAGACAGCCTGAGGAAAGCAGGCCGGCTGGATGTGGATTTCACGGCCTTTTATTTCCAAACAGGAACTGAATTCTTAAGGGCTGCTTATTACAATGCAAACTTTCATTCTGCCATTCCCACAGGGCTGTCCCCCTAGCTAAAGAACAGCAGACCTCTGGAGCCAGAAGCTGTCCCAATGGAATTCTCCAACCTTATCTCCTTCCTCACATGACCCCATCTCCCTACTCCTTCCAACTCCAGACCTGGCAACTTACTCCTTCCTCCCCTCTGCCTCCCGAATCCCACCTGAACACCCTTCAACGTTCAGCTCTGCTTCTATCCCTTTCAAGAAGCAAGCCACACAGCTCCTGGCTTCTCCTGAATTCCTACACATTTATTACCCAGTACCCCTCAACGACACAGTTCCTGGCATCATTCAATTTTGTCTGGTTTTCTCATAACTCGATTGCAAACTTTTGGGACCATTATGGTCCGTCTTTGTATCTCTGCTGTACCTAGAACAGTGCTCTGAACACACAGTATGCCCTCCTATCAACTAAGAGAAAAGCTTATCTGTAAAGCTTTCCAGCACCCTCATTCTTTGGGCTTGTCCAAGTGCTTCCTGTTGACTGATTACTCCCGGAAGGAAAGAGGGCAGGATCACCCTTCTACTTTGAAATGATGCCTAAGCAGCCTAGCCCCGCTTCTTCGCTCTGCTCCCGTCCTCTGCTTGAACAAAGAGGAAAAGCAAATTCAGTGCCACGGTTTAAACGCAGCATTCTGATATCTGAGAGACATCAGAACACAGTCTTGGGCTTGGGCCTCTAGCTCCAACCATATTACTGGCTGTGTGACAACTAGGGAAGCAGAAACAGGATATCTGCAACCAAGATGTTAGCAAAGGAAGGGACCGTGAAAAGACAAAGGGATTGAATCCATAACAGTGTATGAAGAGTTCATTACAGTTTTTAACTAAAGTACGAAGATCTATCACAGTAAAGTATGAAAAGGTTGACAATAACCCTTTGGCCTGCAGCTGAATCCAAGGACTTGGGACTGCCTGGGAGGTCGGAGCAAATCGAGCCATGAAAAAAGGGCCAACCAAGTCAACTCCTGTAACTGGCCTCTCTTCTATAAAGCCGTAAAAAACAACCTGACAAAAATGTAGCTTGTAGATTGTTTATAGATATATAACTAAGTGCCATATCCATACTCCTTATTAAAAACCCTTCCATGACTCAGAGGCTTCCCGCACAAATTACTTCTTCTAATTCTAAAACATTCCTAATGTCTAGATGGAACAATCAGATGTCATACCTTCTGGATTTCTTCAGGCAACGCGTGTATAGGAATATGCCGGTCCATACTTTCCCAGACACACTTACAGAAGTCAGAAGGTGAATACCTAAAAAACGTTGATAATCATAGACATGTGTTAACTAATTGAGGGGAAAGTTAAGCAGCAAATATAAATTTGTGGGAATTTCTGAGGATGTGTTTCTATAAAATCACTATTTCAGCAGAAGTTTCATTGACCTTGAGTCAGGAGATGCTGGTGTGGTTTTCTCACAATACCTAGTTATGCCTAAATCATAGGAAAAATCGTGTTACTAGTTGCTCTGCCGAGTAAACAATGTGCTCTCATGAGTTCCACTCTTTAAAGACATTGCTAATCCCTTCCTGAGGGATTTGACAGCCTAAAAGTATTTTCTTTAGTAATGGCTAACCACTACTTGCTTAGGAATAGAGAACAGAGATCAATGTCTTAAACTTTAAACATATACAAGTGTATATATATATATATATATACACACACACATATATATACAGATATATTTGTTTCATTTTGAAAGTCAATTTCTGAAAAAGTTACTAGTAAAACAATGATTAAACATAGTACTTTAACCCAGTGGATGATAGGGATGACAGTTTATTCTGGCATACTTTTTTAATGAAAAAGTAAAAGTCAAAATATTTATATTTCAGTTTCTTCCATTAAAATTTGTGCCAAAAAAATACACAGAGAGTAGGCAAGAGGCCTTTTTGTCAATGCATCAAAGACTGCCAATATTTTCTTATCACTGGAAGAAGGATAATCTCTTAATGCAAACATTTTCCTTTAATAGATTGTTATTTGATAATTATTCCCTAATAAAGGTTTTAGTTCTCTATTAATCTTTCAAAAGGTCAGAATGTTCTCAAGACTGGGGAAGGTGGTTGCTGTGGTTTTTTTTTTTTTTTAGTATTTCCCTCTTCCTACCACTGGCCAAGGGAACAGAACCCCTTGCCCACATGCTCCACAGATCAATTACTATCCAAATATTGTTCTCGCCTTAGCAGCATTTTGGGTCCTTTTATATTATTCAGATGTTTGCTACCATTGGGGGAAGAGGATTCATTATTTCATTTGTTAATACCAACACCCTTCCTAACTACTCAAGGTCATTGTGAAAAAAGTATAATATTAGCATGCTATCCTTCCATATAGACTACAACAGAATCTGTCATCATTCTCTTTTAACATCTCAGAACAAACTGACATTAACATATAACAACAGATCAGGCCATGGATGACAATCTATTGTTAGAATGGAAAATTAACAAGACAAATACTAACAATATTTTTCTTCCTGTAATCATTATATACTGATTCTCAATATGAGCTTGATACATTATTTTGACTCTTTAATGGGTTTTTTATTTTTTGTTTTTTTGCTTAGGCAGTTAGAGTTAAGTGACTTGCCCAGGGTCACACAGCTAGTAAGTGTCAAGTGTCTGAGGCTGGATTTGAAGTCGGGTCCTCCTGACTCCAAGGCCAGAGCTCTATTCACTGCGCCACCTAGCTGCCCCTTTAATGGTTTTTTTAACTAGAAATATCAGTAGGAACTCCTTATGACTTTATTTGACCTCAGAAGGTATTCTGTGGCATGGTATATTATATTTATATCTCAGATATGATATAGATATATAGTTATAGATATCTATTGGCCAAATACCTTTCAACAATCTTTTGTTAGCATGAAAATATGGTGATAAAGCATGTCTTATTGTAACTCTACATTATACATCTCTCTATAAGAATGCCTTCACAAATGGCTCTACGCATATTCAAACAGTGTGGTCAAGATACTACAAGATACCACTATACCAACAGAGGAAAATTCATTCATACATTCAATAAATATCATTGGTGTTCAAAAAAGACACAAGAAGAAGACACAATTCTTGTTGTCAAGTAGCTTAGACTTGAAAGGACAGGTTAAGATGGATACACAAATCATTCCAATACAAGCCTGAGTGGAAGTTTCACAAGAGAGATACAAAGAAAGTATAATGGAGGTTTCAAGGTGGGAGACCTCCAGTTCAGCTGACAGGCCTAAAGAAAGTTTCATAAAGAGGAGAGTGTTTTGAGCTGGGCCTTGGGGAATGGCCAGGACTCTAAGTCACAAGGCTGGGAAGGTTTTTCAAAGAAAGGGGATAGGATTAACAAAGTTCCCGAGGAGTGAAAGGTGGGTCACCATCAGGGAAGAGTAGTCATTTTAGCCAGAGAACCAAATACATTTACGGAAGAAGAGAAAAATAAGGCTAGAAATGTTGGACTGGGGCAAGGACACCATTTGAGAGGCAATAGGAAATCAATGAAAGATTCTGAAAGCTTCAGCAAAATTACTGTGGCCAGGCTGTAAAAGAGGAACGTTCTCCAAGGGGCAGGAAGCAGCTCTCAATGCTATTGCAACAGCCCACCAAGAAGTAACAGGGATTCCCCAATAGATAAGCGGCCAAATTCAGCAACAAGGAGCCAGGCCAAAATGCTGTATGCAGTGTCACTGTCCTGGGTGCTTTGCTTTTTTTTTTTTTTCAACTCCTTTTATTGTTCTTTCAAGGGAAGGTTCAGGCTTTTCTTCCTCCCAGAAATGACTGTGACATAATGACAAAGGACATCAATAAAACATTTTTTAAAGTAATGTGGGCCTGGCCTTGCATGGTATCCGTAGGAATAGAGAAAATGGGATAGACTGAAAGAGCTAATTGTGACATAGAAACAACACAAGTCAGAGAGTGTTTGGGTGTGAAGGGTGAAGAGAAAGGACTTACGTCCAAAGCTTCAAGTCTGGGTAGGGCAGCTAGGTGGCGCTGCAGTGGACAGAGGACTGAGCCTGGGGTCAGGAAGACCTGAGTTCAAATCCAGACTCAGACACTTACTAGCTGTACGACCCTGAATAAGTCACTCAGTTTCCTCTTCTGTAAAATGAACTGGAGAAGGAAATGGCAAACCACCGCAGTATCTTTGCCAAGAAAACCCCAGATGGGAAATGACTGAACAACAACAAAGAGGATGAGCTGGCTGAAGGGTGAAAACAGTGAGTTCTGTTGGGGGCACGTTGAGACTGTAGTGAGACACTGGGGCAGCACATAAAGAGATTTAGGAATGATCTGCAAAAAAGTGACAGATAGTTAAAAGGGTAGGAATAGATGAGGTAATAGTAATGATCCACATTCCTATAGTATTTTAAGGTTTATAAAGCTCTTTCCTTAAAGTAATCCTAGGTGGTAGGTACTACAAGTATTTTAATCTCCATTTAAGCGATAAGGAAAGGGAGGCTCTGAGATGATAAATACCCAGGGTCACACAGCCAATAAACAGCAAAGACAGGACTCCAACTCAAGTCTTTGGACCTCAAGGTCAGCACTTTTCCCCCTAAATCAGAGTCAAGGGACACTGCAGAAAATAAAGAAGAAAGCCTAAGACAGAAACTCTGGGAACAGTTCTATTTATGGGGGTGGGAAAAGAGGAAACATTGATGGAAACAGAGATGGAGCAGTCAGGATGGGTAGGAGGAAACCAGAATAGTGGAAGCTAAGGGAAGAACATTTCAAGAAGATGAACAGCGTCAGATGTTGCAGAGAGGTCAAGGATGAACACTTCAGCAAGACCATGAGATCTGGAGATGAGGATGTCACTGGAGAGAGCTTCCGTAAGGTAGTAAGAACCAAGGGGGGAAAAGTGGCAAGAAAGCCAAAGGAGAAGAGGCTTAATTCAGTCCCTCAGAGATCTGTTGTCTTGTAGATATGGGAACTCCCACTACAAATACGGATTGGGACCAATACAATCCCTCTACAACGCAGTACCAGACTTGCTTTGGTTGAAAATTTCATGCGGTTGAAAATCACAGTCAAACTGAATGATGGCACAATGGATACAGCATAGACCTGAGGAGTCAGGAAAACCTGGGTTCAAATCCTGCCTGAGATGCTTACTAGCTGTGAGACCCTGAACTAGTCACAACCTGTCTGCCTCAGTTTCCTCATCTGTAAAACGGGAATAATAATAATAGCACCTATCTCACGGGAATATTATATGGGTCAAATGAGATAATACACATAACGAGCTTTTCAAACCTTAAAGTGTTACATAAATGTTAGTTATTGTTATTATGATCTTCTCTGACCTTAACTAGGCTGGTCCTGGGGGAACAAAGATATAATTCAAAATGGTGGCCTCACAGGATGCCTTCTCCACTTGGTAATACATAGATAGATGTGTATGTGTGTGTGTATATACATATACATATATATGTGTATATATATGTGTGTGGTGTGTGTATGTGTGTATATATGTGTATATATGTATTTATGTATATGTGGTGTATATATGTATATATACACATATATGTATATGTATATATACATTTTATATATATATACATATATACACACACACATATATATGAGAGAAAGAATGCTTTCAAGTGGCAGAGCACTTTGCAAACATCACCTCATTTGATGTTCACAAGAGGCCTGTGGGTCAGGTACTACAGGCTACCATTATCATGCCCATTTTACAGATGAGGAAGTGGTAGTTCAGGTAATCGACTTGCCTGCCTGAGGTCACACAGTAGGGGCCACCCCAGCCTCAAACTAGCTTTTCTTGGCTCCAAGTCACACTGCTTCTCCAGAGGCAAAACCTGCCAGGGGCCTCAAGCTTCTGACATGGCCGTCAAGAAGTCAGGACTGAGGGGCAGCTAGGTAGCGGAGTGGACAGAGCACTGGCCCTGAAGTCAGGAGAACCTGAGTTCAAATCTGGCCTCAGACCAAACACTTGACATTTACTAGCTGTGTGACCCTGGGCAAGTCACTTAACCCCAATTGCCTAAAAAAAGAAAAAAAAAGTCGGGACTGCCACCACATGAGGAGTTATCAGGGGCAGAAATAAATATTGCCTTTTCAATATTTTTGCCTTTTGGCAGAGAAAAACTTCAGGACAGTAGCTAACTGATAATAAGGACAGAGAAGATGTGCATGTATTTATAGGAAGAGGACAGGTGAGACTGGAGATATGGGAAGGCTTTACTGATGCAGCCGCCTGGGCCCAGGGCCAGAGGAGGAAGGAGAACAGGGATTCTCTGCTATGAGGACTCATTTGCCCACTTCCCATCACCCACACACACATACACACACAAGAAATTAAAAGGTCCTTAAAGGCAGAAACTAACTCTTTGGGTGTTTTTGTTTGTTTGCTTGCTTGATGTGTCCCTAGTGACTAGAACAGTGCTTTGCCGGTAGTAGTAGATGCTTAATAAATGCTCAGAAGGTGGTGGTGGTAGTTGTTGTTGTTTATCCTTCATTCTCTCAGAGGACCATGACATCAGGGAGGTGATGCCATGACTTGCGAGTGAACGAGATTTAAGTGAGGGAGGGAGGGCTGTGTGGAGTCACAAGCCTCACTTTCTCCTCCAGAGTCATCTGGGCCCAGTGGCCAGATACAAAACAGGATGACCAGGGTGTCTCCTGGAAGGTGGTAGGGTAACCATGGCAAGGAGGAAGGAAATTTTAGGCTCAGAGACTGAAGAACAAAAGGGTGAGTGAGGCTTGGAGAGAATTTGTGAGGATGGGGAGAGGGTTCCTATCAGTCCCCATCTTCTTAGTGAGGCAGGAAGGTGGTCACCGGCCCAGAGTGAAAAGGCTGAGTTGGGCTGGCAGCCTGAGGAGAACAGGTTGGGACATTTGCTAGGGGGAGAATGGAAAGGAACCCAAAAACGGTGATTTAAGAACTTCTCCTCTTTGTGTTAACAAGGCAATTATCGAGGGAGCCCAGAGTCCTTTCTACTTGCCAGGCCACTGTCTGACGACATGTCAAGCATCCCTCCATGCTTGGGGGGCTTCGTCTGAACTCATCACACAGTGGGGAAGAGACCCAAAGAGCTGCCCAGAAGCTATCACTGAGTTCATCTCACTTCTAATACTCTTCCTAACCCCAGTGGGCTAAGTGTGGGCTATTCCTGCCTAAACATCTTCCTTGGGAGGGCCAAGTGCTCTGCTTAGTTCCCAGGTCTGCCAGAAAATTGGTAAGGCTTTAAAAAAAAATGGTGCCTGAGGGCACTCTGTAAACCTCATAATCTTAGCCCTTCCTCAAGGACCACTGGCAATAACAGACTGTGGAGGGGGAGTGTGAATAGAGATGCCTCATGACTCTGGAGAGATCTTTTTTAGAGAGAACCCAGCCTGTAAGAGACAAAAGAGGGAAAGAGGGGAAGGGCTTAGAGGGTGCAGAGGAAAGGGAGAGAGAGACAAGGAGAAGTAAAGCAGGAGGGAAGAGGTGGAATCGAAGGGGAAGAGAAAAGAGAGGAAGGGGAATGGGAGATGAGGAAAACAGAAAGAAGGGTAGGGGAAAGAAGGCAAAAGGCAGAGAAGGAGGGGGAGAAAAGAAAAGAGGAAGAATAAGGAAAGGAAGGGAATCTATACAGCACCTCCTCTGTACTGGGCACTGTGCTAAATGCTTTTTTACAAATACTATCTCATTTGATCCTCACAACAACCCACAAGATAAGTGCTATTATTATCCCTATTTTATAATTGAGACTGAGGCAAATAGCAGTCAAATGACCTGTCCAAGGTCACACTGCTAGTAAGTGTCTGAGGCCAAATTTGAACTCAGGTCTTCCTGACTACATTCCAGTGGTCTGGTGCTAACTTTGCCATCAGCTGTCTCAGGAAAAAGGAAGGGGAAAGGAAGGGAGAGAAGGGGAAAGGGCTAGAGAAGAGGGTATGGGAGATAAAGGGAGAGACCCCAGGGAATGGAGGAAGGGGTGGGAATGAGGAAAGAGGATGAAGGGAAGGAGGGAGAGAAGAGATGGAGAAGTGGAAGAGGAGCTAGAAGAAAGTGGGGAAGGATGAAAGGAGCGGAAGGAAAAGAAATGAAGAGAGGAGAGATGGAAAGAGGGAGAAGAGGGAAACAGAAGGAGAAAACGGGGGGTAGCAGAGGAGGATGGAAGAGAAGAAAAGGGGAAGGAGATGAACAGGAAAGATGGATAGAAACAACGGAATAAAGGAGGGAGAGGAGGGGAGGAGGAAAAGGGGAGGAAAGGAAGGGGGATAAAACAGAGGGAAGGGGAAGGAGGAGAGGCAAGGAGGAAGAAGAGGAAGGAGGGATAGACAAAGAAGGAGAAAAGGAGGATAAGAAGAGGGAGGAGTAGGTTAGGGGAGGAGGAGGAAGAAGGGATGGACAGTGGAGGAAGGAGAGATAGAGGGCAGAGGAGGGATGGGCAAGGGGAGGAGGAGGGAAGAATGGAAAGGAGAAAAGGTAAAAGCAGGAGGAAGGGGTGGGCAGGGGGAGGGGGAGGAGGGATGGAGGGATGGAGGGATGGGGGGAGGGGGGGGGGGCGGGGGGGGGGGAGGGGGGGGGGGGGGGCAAGGCAGGGAACGCGCGGCTGCCGGGCAAGGGGAGCAAGCCCCCCAGGCTCACGGCCCTTCCCTCGCAGAGCCCCAGCTGACGAGGCCCCTCAGGATCAAGGTCACGGCTGCTCCCGGGGGAGGGGCAGCATCCCCGGCCCGGCCCCGGGGAAGCAAAGCCGGCATCTCACCTCGACCTCGGCTCGGCTGGGTCGGAAACGGCTTTCCCAGTCACCCAGGCAACCGCGCTCCCGGTGGAGACGCCAGGACGTGGTGACGTCACGGCCCACGCCGCCTACGCGGAAGCGCCGGCTCGGCCCGCCCGCCCCCACTCGCCGGAGTGCGCGCGCAGGTCCCTGGGGCCGAGAGCAACGGTCGTCACGCGTGCGCATGCGCGGAGTGGGGTCGTGGGGACAAGGAGCTTGGAAATGAATGAAGAGGGAAAGTGAAGGGCGTTGCTGGGGAGTTTGGCGGGGGGCCGAAGCATGGCTGTCAGAGCCCTTCAGTCCCCTGCTCGTGGGCCCTTTCCGGTGCGTCATGCAGCCCACCTTCCCTCCTGTGACATATAGGGAAACTGAGGCTTAGGCTCCGTGGCCCCTTCTCCTTCCGCTGCGTCGCTACGTTTGTGTGGAGCGGCCTCCGAGGCCGCGCTGCGGGAGACCCCCGTGGGCACTGAGCGCCGCTCAGAATCACGCGTGGCCTCAGCCGACGCGCCCCTCACGCCCCTCTCTGCAGCCTGCACCGTTACCCGGACCCCCTCGTCTCCCACTCCCCCGGACTCCCCAGCAGGCGGGGTCGTGGGCAGGCGCTAGTTCGCGTCCATCCGGGAGGGGCCATGATCCCAAAGCGACCCCACGAGCCCAGTGGGCGAGGACGGCCCTGGGGGCTCTCTCAGTCACGTGCTGCGCGCACCCTCAGGGAAGGCCGCGGCAGCACCACGGTCACGTGTATTCGCGACCAATTTCAGTCCAGTGGGACCCCGAGACCCCGCTGGGGCAACTCCTACGTGCATATAAACCCCCCATGTGGTTGGTTTCTTTTTGGAGAGGGGGGAGGAGGGATGCATATAAAATATATATAATTCCACCCCCCCCATGTGGTTGGTTTCTTTTTGGAGAGGGGGGAGGAGGGATGCATATAAAATATATATAATTCCACCCCCCCCATGTGGTTGGTTTCTTTTTGGAGAGGGGGGAGGAGGGATGCATATAAAATATATATAATTCCACCCCCCCATGTGGTTCGTTTCTTCTTGGAGAGGGGGCTGGAGGGATGCATATAAAATATATATAATTCCACCCCCCCATGTGGTTGGTTTCTTTTTGGAGACGGGGGAGGGATGCATATAAAATATATATAATTCCACCCCCCCCATGTGGTTCGTTTCTTCTTGGAGAGGGGGCTGGAGGGATGCATATAAAATATATATAATTCCACCCCCCCATGTGGTTGGTTTCTTTTTGGAGACGGGGGAGGGATGCATATAAAATATATATAATTCCACCCCCCCCATGTGGTTCGTTTCTTTTTGGAGAGGGGGGAGGAGGGATGCATATAAAATATATATAATTCCACCCCCCCCATGTGGTTCGTTTCTTCTTGGAGAGGGGGCTGGAGGGATGCATATAATATATATAATCCCCATAATGAGGTTTGTTTCCTCTGGAAGAGGGAGGAGGAGGGATAAACTGATAGGGCCTGAGAGGGGATGAGGGACAGCAGGAGGGGAGCAGGGGACACCAAGCGTGCCGAGTACACCATGCTTATCGGGGGCCCGGAGCACTCTTACAGCCTTTCATTCTCACTAAGTCCTTTGGGGGGAAGGGGGAAGGGCGGGGGGGGGGGGGAGGGTGTTCTGTACGTGCGAGCAAACAGTGCCTTGCACGTGCTGGAGAAGAAGCATTGGTTGGGCTGCATTCTTAGAACAGAAGGAATCCAGACATAAAGGATGATAGAAATTAGGCTAGGTTTGTGTAGCGCCTCATGCACAAATGGAAAAAGCTACTCACCACAGATAAAGGCAAGATTCCTTCAGTATCCTGAAGCCAGTTTGCCCAACAATAGAATTCACGTTTAATATAGTGCATAAGAAGGAGACTTAGAGCAAAAGTGGGGAGCCCACAGCTGGAAGACTAGATCCCAGCTTTGACTTGATTTCATCCAAGGTCATACAGTCATTGGTTTTTAGGGCTGGAAGGCTCTTGCCCTGGCCCTTACCTCAACTTGGAATTAAGTGCTCCCCTTGTGGTGCTATTCTATTAAAATCTCTCAAGGATTAAAGACATTTAGAAGCTGGGGACAGTAGTCTGCTCCTCTCCCCCTCCCCAGGAGGTTTTAAACTCTGCAAATGACTATCGTATTTTAATCCTTATACTTTTTTAAGTAATTAATTTATTTTTAGTTTTCAACATTCACTTCCATAAGATTATGAGTTTTAAATTTTATCCCCCTCCCTCTCCTCTCCCCTCCCCAAGACGGCATCCAATCTGATAGAGGCTGTACATATTCATTCATAGTAAGCATATTTTCACATTAGTCATAATGTAAAGAAGAATTAGAACTAATGGGAGGAACCACAAGAATGAAGAAACAAAACAACAAAAGGAGAACAAAGAGCATGCTTCCATCTGCATTCAGACTCCACAGTTCTTCCTCTGGATGTGGATAGCATTTTCCATGTGAGTCTTTTGGAGTTGTCTTACATCCCTGAATTACTGAGAAGAGCCAAAAGTCTATTCAAAGTCAGTCATTGCACAATGTGGCTGTTACCATGTACAATGTTTTCCTGGTTCTGCTCACTTCACTCAGTATCAGTTCATTCAAATCTTTCTAGGTTTTTCTGAAGTCTGCAGCTCATCATTTCTTACAGCACAACAGTATTCAATTACATTCACGTACCACAGCTTGTTCAGCCATTCCCGCATGGATGGGCATCCCCTCAATTTCCAATTCTTGGCCACCTCAAAAAGAGCTGCTATAAATATTTTTTGTACATGTGGGAATCTTTTTGCTTCTCACACCTATTAAGTACTTAATAAATGTTAACTGAATTTTTGAAAGAGTATTGTCATAGGATAACTTAAGTGCTCTGAAGCCCAAATAGCAAGAATACATCAGAATGATATCCAGGTGCTTACTATCTTCCTCTTTCTTTCAAGCTCATCTTTTTTGTTTTCTCTGTTTCTGTGTTGTTATCAATCCCTTAGTTCCTTCTCCACCTTTCCTCTTTCTTCTTTTCCCCTTCCTTTCTTTGTTCATCTTCCTAATCTCCCTAATTTACCTATTCATAATGTGAAAATGGTAACAGAATCATCAATTTAGATCTGAGATTCTCTGGTCTATTTGAGATCATTTAGTCTAACTCCTTCATTTTAAAACTGAGGAAACTAAAGCCTCCAGAAGCTAAGTGGCTTGTGCAAGGTCAGGTAAGTGGTCAGTATCAGAGATCTCTCCATCTGATATCTTCACTATACTTTTTTGTTCCTTTGGACCACAAAGGACAAATCTAGGAACGATGAATGGAAGTACAAGGTAAAATTTAGCTTGATATCAATCAGGACATTTCCTAACATTGAGAGCCGTCCCAAAGTAGAACAGGCTACTTCTGGAGGTAGGGGCTCTTCCACTTACTGGAAGGTTTCCAGCAAAAATGGCTGGCCCCTTGAACCACTCCTGTGTTACTATTTTCATATTTGGGTTGAACTATGGAACCTTTGAGATCTCTTCTACATCTGGAATTCTGTGATGGACCTGACCTTACAATAACTAAATAAGAATAATTGCCCAAAGGCTATTTTACCTAGCTATAAAATTAATTTTAGCCTATATACTTATTTATTTCATCATTTCTCCTCTTGCTTCTGCTTCCCAGTGTCAAACAAAGCCCAGGGTAGCAGAGCTCTTACAGTTTCAGGTCGCTTTTTCTCTAGTCTCAGCAGACAAGCTTATTTATTGCAAATAGATGGCTTGTGCTCTCTCTCTTGTTCCAGTTTTTAAAACTGCTGTAGTGGCATTTAAACATTTTTCATCATGCTGTAGTTTCTCACTATAAAGTTAACCCCAAATAGCTTTCTGCTGTGTGCTGGGTGTACAATTTTTGATCTGTACCTTTTTTGTGTAGAAGATAAACTAATTGAAGGTAGGGGACCATTCCATTCTATCTTCATGAAGCACATTGGAGGCACTTAAGAAATGCTTGTTTTATTGAATTGAAATGACTTCCTCCAACATCCTTGAAATATGTCTTCATCTGAATAATATAAACTTGAATAACCTATAAAATCAAGATACGAATATTGCCCAAATAGCTCTTATTACTAAGAACTCAGGGCTTTAGGATCTATTCTGGGATAAATTTTAGGATGCAGATTCATTTTAATTTTCTGAGGGTGTAATCATTAAGCAACTGATGGAACGTGTCAGGCTAGAGAAGAGGAAAAGGAGCATCTGAAAAGTTCAAAATAAGCCCAGCTTCACAAAGAGTGGGTGTCTTAGAACCTAATGAATTCATTTGTGATAGTGGCCTATTCACCCGTTCACTGCCAAAACCCACAGGTGTACCTAATACAAATCAGTATTCCTTACATAAATCAATAGAAATGTTTTGTTTTTGTTTAATGTGCAAAGTTCAAACTGCCACAGTGCCCATGTAATGCTGCTTTGTTGAACTGGATGCTCACAGAAATAAGGTAGTTAATAACTCCAGATAAACAAAATTAACTGGTCTTTCATCCTGCGATTCAGCTCTGCTGAGGGAGATCTTTTCAGAGCTGAAAAAATAAACATTTAACTACTTTAGCACTTTCAAAAACAACTCACCCTCATAATTAACTAGGGTAAAATTTATAGCTAGTAAAATATGTTTGTGAAATGGTTTTTCAATGCTCTGCTTTATTTCACTGAAAGCCATCTCAGACATTGGCAATTGTTTAGATTGGGTTTGGGAGAAAATACTGTGTACAATGTAAAGGTGTATGATCCTGTACTTTTAAAGAACTTGGATTGAGTTTACAGAAAGACCCAATTATCTTGTCATTTTGACATGTTTCCACCAAAATTTTACATTCAGATTCTTTTCTGAAGTGCCTGGCCATAGGCCCACAGAGCTGTAAAAAATAAATGCTCAGAATTGTTTTATCTCTTCCAAATATTCTGCACATGCATATCTAAGTGCACATTGTCACACCCCATCCCACTCCAGTAGAATGTAAGCTCCTTGAGGGCAGGACTATTTTAGTTTTTGTCTTTGTATCCCCAATGCTGAGGACATT